TCGTAATGTGAATTTTATACATTTACCTAAATATGTGTGTAAAGGATCAGACCGAGTGTTATCAAATTTCATCAATATATTCGATACGATATTTTCTCATTAAAAACAAACTCGCCACGGAACAAAATGTGGAACCTTCACGAAATTCAAGATCCTTGCCCAATATCGCCACCGTATGACTGCAATTATAATATGAATCATCTATTAAACACTAACACTAAAAGAAAATAAAACTAAATATAATAATGTGTATAAAACTTGTGATAATAATTTGATGTAATAAATACTTACAATATTTCGTAAAATATAGTCTATAACTATAAAATATAGTCTATACTTGGATATATCCATACCTGACCAGTCATCGAAAATCGCTAATATACATAAGGCACAATAGAGAAATCTCATGTCGCTTTCGCATCCAATAACCATAGCTGTGAAAGATCCATTTGGATTCTGATAAGCTTGTACTCCCTCGACGATAGCCTATCCATTCGATTCAGATCATCACCAAAGATCAAAAGGGTAATCAGGCTGGTATACGTCATTGCTAAATGACCATATTGGCATTCGGACACTTCCAAGATAATTTAAATTTTTTATTAATTTTGAATAAATTATCAAAGAAAATCAATTGATTTCTTGAGGAAGCATTTCGCGGTATAATAATAAGAATAAGAATTTCTCTAAATTTATAAATTCAAGATGAAAATTCTTATATCAACTTGAACAAATAACAATTTAGAGTTAGAGCTAAATTTCTCCTTTTAATATCAACAGTCAAATATGATACCTCTCTTCAATAAATTGTTATTGCAACAATTATAGAGTTCGAACCTGAGATCTTTCGATTATCCATGCCAAGTATTTTTAATGTGATGTGATTAAGGTGAATAATATTTATCACAATAATTAAGTAATTTGGACTGCGTTTCAATATTCACTGCCAATATGATATGCAAATCTATGATATATATAACACACATTATATTTTTTCAGAAATTTTGGCAGCGAATATTAGAATGCAACCTTAATAAGAATACCATTTTTCAATTAGTGTCATAAAAAAATTCATTCTAAATGAAATAGATAGTAGGTAGAATATGTTAAAACAATTAAAATAGTAATGGCAAAAATATTACTTATGTATAATATTAAAAAATGTATGTAAAATTGTTATATATGCATATATATGCATATGAATGTTATATATGTAATACAGTCATGTTTATGATAATAGCATTTAAGAAGCAAGTAATATATAATGATATAATTAAATCCTACAAATGCATATATAAATGCTTAATAAATGGAATTTATTGAATCAGTACCCCCATTCGATGATTATCTGATTATCAACTTTTTATGTGAAAATTAAATTGTAAAGTAAAATGATAACTTATACTTCGTTTTTTATTAAATTATTATAACATTGACATGAATTCATTGAGATTATATATATAATAATAAATAATAAATAATTTTATTATTATAAAATAACACTGTATTAGATTGATTTGTTTTTGAAGATGAAATAGGTTTTTTTTTAATAAATATTTAATTTAAAAAACAAATTTATTTAAATAAAAATCTAGAGACAAAGAATTTTGCAATCATATATAAAATATATATTCATAATTTTATGTTGTATATTAGTTGCACATTATAACATTACTCTTTTATATACACTCATGTTTGATATTTATATGAGTGCATATACACGTGTGTGTTTTGTGTGTGTGAGTCATATAAAATTATAAAATTACTTTACTCAATTCTGATTTTTCTATTCATCCATGTTTTACTCTACACAATGCAATATATGATCTTTTAGTGGACAAATCATGCCATCCTACCGGACCTCTTTCACAATCAGCACAAGCTAGATATTTAACATTGCCCACTGTGTGTGACACACCAATATTTTCGAAAGTATACATATCTTCTATCAACCAATAATCAGAAATAATTTCTGATTGATTAGCTTCATCTTCTGCTTTACTATGTATATAAGGTAGCGCAAACTGCAATTAAAAATTAATTTATTCATTTATAAATGAGCAGTTATCAAACTGAATAAATAATTCCTTGAAAACAAATTAAAAACTTGGCACTTTCAAATTTATAGAACATTACACAATAAAACAACTTTTAGGTTAAGTGTACTAAATATTAAATAAAAATATTTTTATCAAGTAATGATACAGCACAACAATACAGCATTTAATAAACTACACTAAAACACAATAAAAAATTATCAAGTGAGAAGTCATGAAACTTCTTTAATAAAATATTACACTCACGTTTATATTTACTAATCTAGCAACTCCAGCATTAAGCATTTTTGAAGGGCAAAATGTACAATAGATTTTATTTTTATTTTTGCCTTCCGCATCCTGTTTCGATTCGATTATATCTCTGTCTGTAGACATCGTTGTTTTATAAAAGTATAAATATTAAATTAGACAATAGATCGACTAATCAGATGTTAAAATCTAAAATCCGTCCTCTATGCAAATGAAACGAATCAAATCAATTTCAAATCGAAATCAAAAGATATTCTTTTTAGCTAAACTTCTTATACCATTCATCTTCTTTTCCTCCATATTAGATAGAAAAAGAGAAAAGATGAATGGTGTAAAAGTTCAGTCAAAAAGGACAGACTGAAATATACAATTAAGGCACAGTATATACAGTAGCGCAACTCTCCGTCGGTGCCTTTGATGTTTGCGTATGTTAAAATAAACTGTGCATGCGTGAGCGAGGTACGTAACCAATCAGGATACGGATATTCCGCCTCACTTCCTCTTTTTATTGTAACTTTATTTCTCTTTCTAACTTGTACATATATAGTGTACGTTTAGAATAGAAATGTACATAGGCGCATGAAATTTATTTCTTGGTATTTATTTCATTATATATTCTTCAATGAAATATACACACAGAAATAAAGTTAAATTTTTAATATAAAAAAAATAATTTTAGATAAATTTGATCAATTTGTATTGCTATATTATACTATGTATTGTCATATACCACAGATGTCTATACTAAACTAGATTGCTAACTAGGACTTTGGACTTACGTCACATACGGTTTCCGGTGTATGCGAGAAAATAGCGGCAGTCCTATGTATGTGACGTGATATTTGTTTGAATTTTACAGCGTCAGTGTGTGTATGGTCATTAAATTTCTGTAAAAATGCCAGTATCTTGTTGCATCAAAAAGTATCGTAATAAAAAAAAATGGTGTTAGTCTATTTAAGTAAGTTTTACATTTATAATAAATATATAAATGTTTCATAAAACATAAATAGTGATTAATGCAATTTTATAGATTATGGTGAAACGAAATTTTTAATATTTTAGATTTTTACTTAAAAGAGAAGACTATTTGAAAAAATGGCTTCAAAATATTAGAATTTTTCCTTTTAACAAAAGACAACTATACGCAGATTCTAAAAAGAGATACAATGAAGTTACTAGAGTAACAAGAAAATTTATATTAAATACAAATGTATTTCATTAAGGCTGCGTTTCAATTATTTACTGCAAATACTAAAAATCTATAATATACGTGACCTAAACTATATATTTTCAGTACTGGCAGTGAATACCGGAACGCAG